ATATATATGTATAAACAGCTACTGAAATAAAAACAGCAAAAAGGTAGCAATGCTAAACTTAAAACCCAAAACGATAATAAGCTAAAAACATGCTGAAAGGTAAATGACCACAAAAGTGGTTAAAACATAATTTGAGCTAAATTATATTTTCATTTAAGCTAAATTGTTGCTAAAAGCTTCAATTAGAAGAACAGTAGCTAAAAGCAAAAAGTTAAAATAACAAAAAAGTAGCCAAAATTTGCAACTAGCAAAATGTTAGGTAAAAGCTACAATTTGTTAAATCGGTTAGAAGCTAAAATTAACAAAGTAAGTTTAAAGCTAAAGCACCAATAACCAAATATTAGCTGAAAGGTAAAATCAAAATGGTGGCTAAAAATAAAAGTAACTAAACGGTAGCTTAACGCCTCACTTAGCAAATATTAGCTTAATCATCCTATTAGCAAGATGGCACCTAAAAGCTAAAAGTAGCAAACTAAAGTCAGTAAATGTTTTTAAGGATGGAGCTGCTGCTTTTTACAACAAATGTTCAATAAGAATCAATAAGTTTAGTGGATTAAAGAAGGATTCAGTGTTTCTGCCGATGGAAACTGGAAGGAAAACAAGTCCTTTCAGAGCGAGTTTTGCTTCGTTTACAAAGACTGTAGAGAAAAATGATGAGGAGAGTTCAGCTAATGATGCAAAAACTATTATTTTCTGCAACAACTCGACTGTTCTGAGTCATTTACCACAAAAACAATGAGACAGGAACAGAGGCAGGGAATTTTTGTTTAACGTGCAGAATTTTCTCTGTTGTCTAAATATTTTCTTTTCTTTCTTTTTTTTTTTACAGTTCTCTCCACCTCACCCACGTTATTACAACCTGTAGTATTTTAAATTTCTTGTGTACTTGGTGTTTTCAGCCTGTGACGATCACTGCGTGACGTGTCAGGGTCCGGGACGCTGCCTGGACTGTCGGTCTCCGTACTCCGTCCTGCAGGGCCAGTGTGTCCTCCGGTGTGGCAGGAACTACTTCCTGGAAGCCTCTAAAGTCTGTAAACGTAAGAAGGTTTTAAAAATGTTTTTATTGTTGAAGGAAAAGTTGAAATGATTCTGATTTGAAGCGTCTTTAACTAAACCTGCAGCCTGCTCGTCTGACTGCGCGCTCTGCGACGGCGTGGGACGCTGCAGCGTTTGTAATGATCAGACCTTCCTGATGGAGGGCTACTGCACCCCCGACTGTGGACCCGGGTACTATGGTGATCTGAAGACCAGGACCTGCCATGGTAAGAACTGTAGTGTCCAAAGAGTGGGGGCCTTGTCTCAGGAATGCACAGATGTGAGGCCTCTGAGTTTCCAGCTTTAGAGCTCGGCACATATTACCATTTTAGGAAAGAAGAACGCTTAAGGTATACCGTGACAAGATTTATGGTACATCTGTGAAAACCTACAAAGAGCCTTGTACGCCCCCTGCTCTTCACCTTCGTCTTCATTTCTCTACTTGGAAGATTCATTTGGCTTGGAGACCACAATTTGGTTTTTTAGGCTGTAATCTCCTGAACTGCAAAATAAAGGTCCTTGCTGTTCAACCAGCCTGTGTTTTCAGAGTCCTTTCAACAGAAGACGTGGTATTTTTTACACCTCAGAACCAACCTGCTTTATGAAAATCTGCTGTTTTCTAAAAGTCCCCCAAGTTCTGATCAAACTGAAGAAAACTCCTTTAACCTCGTTTTACCGACCGGTAAACCGAGAGCTTTGCCTCCGGACAAGACCATGGTCTCAGATTTGGAGGCACTGATCCTCATCCCGGCCGCTTCACACTTGGCTGTGAACCGCTCCAGTGAGAGCTGGAGATCAGGATCTGATGAAGCCAACAGGACCACATCACCCACAAAAAGCAGAGATGTGATCCTGAGGTCACCAAAAAGGATCCCCTCAACACCTCGGCTGGACAGAATCGGTGACAAAGGGCAGCCTTTGCGGAGTCCAACTCTCACCGGAAATAAGTCCGACTTACTACCGGCAATGTGGACCAAGCTCTGTCACAGGTCATACAGGGACCTAACAGCCCGTATCAATGGGTCTGGTACCCCATACCCCCAGAGTACCCCCCAAAGGAGTCCCTGAGGGACACGGTCGAACGCCTTCTCCAAGTCCACAAAACACATGTAGACTGGCTGAACTCCCATGCACCCTCCAGGACCCTGTTGAGGGTGTAGAGCTGGTCCAGTGTTCCACGACCAGGAAGTAAACCACACTGCTCTTCCTGAATCTGAGGTTCGACTATCCGACGGACCCTCCTCACCAGAACCCCTGAATAGACCTTACCAGGGAGGCTCAGAAGTGTGATCCCCCTGTAGTTGGAACACACTCTTTTTAAATGGGGGACCACCACCCCGGTCTGCCAGTCCAGGGGAACTGCCCCCGACGTCCACAAGATGTTGTAGAGTCCCGTAATAGTATAACAGTGATACTAATAATATTATTAGTACTGCTAGTAATAATATAGTAGTTCTAATATTAATAGTAGCAGTAACTTTTGCTAATATAGTTATCAAACTTATAGTATTATTACTAATATTAATCCTAGTACTAAGTATAATTACTATTAATGCTACTAGTTCTATTATACTAATAGTAACGCTACTAGAACCATTACTAATACTATTACTATTACTAGTCGTATTGTATTAATAGTACTGCTAATAGTGCTAACACTAATAATACTATTCATATTACTAATACTACTAGTTCTGTGATACCAATAGAGTTACTACAAGTACTAATCCTATTACGTGTATTAATACTACTAGTAATAAAGTAGTAGTGCTAATTGAACTAGTGTAGCACTTGTACTGATGCGGTTATAATACTAATATTACAAGTATTATTACTACTTTTACTAATACAACTAGCACTATTACTGATACAAGCACTAATACTACTAGCATAATTTCTAATACTATTGCTAAAGCTAGTAATCCTTTTATATTAATAGTATTATATATAGTTTTAATATTACTAGAACTACTAATATAGTAAGAAAACTATTAGTACTCTTAACTTATACTATTGCTAAAACTATTGATTTTACTACTAATACTAGTAGTACTAGTAATAGTGCTATTAGTACTGGATCTACTGTTAGTATTGTTAACTGTGTATTTGTTAGTACCAGTATTAATAGTGATATTACTACAGTAGTACACAGACAAATGTGTTCATGTGAATGTTTTTAAGTAAAACTTCATATTTTAAACTCGTCTCTTGGGTCAGAATGAAATGTTTTTGCCGTTCAGATACAAAAACTGTACAAGTGGAGCTGTGAATATTATGGGATAGAGGAGCTTTTTAAAGATAATTAAAGAGAAGCTGAAGACGTGAATCAGCTCCATCATCATCATCTTCAGTTGAAGTTTCTAAACAAGATGTTTTTCATCAGTTCCCACATTTCTTACCTGCAGAATGAATGAAATAATGAGTCCTCCAGGAGCCACACCTGTACTGCTCCTCGTTAGAGACGTCTAATTAACTCAGCTGTTTGTTTAAGGCCTGAGTCACACTACAAGATAGTCAGGCCGATTTTTGTCCTTCCGACAATCTTAAGGAAGTCCAGATTATCGTGATGGCTCTAAAGATAATCTGAGCAGATATTCCTGCTGTGGGTGGTGAGTTAAGACTGATCTAGTCGGCTCGGAAGGAGGTCGGGACCGCTCCGACCTCAAATCGGGGATATTCAACATGTTGGATTTTTTGGCCCGATATGACAGTGGCTGTGTCCAAAACGACAGGCCGGGTCCTCCGGAGGACCCAGACTACCCGGTCGCGGCGGGCCGGGTCCTTGGTAGACTGGGAAGACCGGAAAAAGAGGCTGTGAATTTGGACGGTCTAGCCTCCCCTCCAACCCGGCGTACATCATGTCACCTAGCAACAGTGACGACGCTAAACAAGCAAACTTAAATCAAAATTAGAAAAATATCAATACATTAGCATTATTAATATCACAAAACTATAAAATTAACTTAAAGGTATCGTTTGAAGAACTAAATGACCCGCTGTAGGTTCATGTTTATTTCACGTTTTTTTATGACAAAAAAATAACATTTAAAAACATGTCTATACAAATGATAAAAGTATTAGAATTACAACCGCTAATTTTTTTTTATTTTTATATTACCGTATTTTTATTTAAAATGTATTCTTTTCTCTCGCTTCGTCCGCCATTACTAGCATAAAAACTAGCATAAAAAAATCTCCGGTCGGGCCGCAATGCATTATGGGATATGCTGGGCCGGGAAGGATCCATCAGACCAGTCCTTCGATTCGGGCCAAAGGAAGGACGTATTTGTCGGCCGCATCGGAGGAGTCTTCGGTTTTGGACGTCCTTCGTTGCGGCGCTGTGACGTATGCGGCCGACAAATTCGGCCTTCGGAGGACCCGGCCTGTCGTTTTGGACACAGCCAGCGTGTGTAGTGTTCACCTGAGCTCTCAGCCTGTTGAATGAGACGTGTAGCCAATCAGAAAGAGAGGTGACGTAAACACAGAGGGGATTCCAAAATACGGAAGACAAAAAACTGTCATGACTCAGCAGAAAGTCTGCTGGATGTTAAAAGTCCTATGGTATTGTTTTTCCTCTGGTAAAAATAGTCCACAAACGATGAACATTGTTTCTTCCTTGTTGCAAATGTTTATTTACTCTGAACTCACGTCTCTCTGGAGGTCACGTGAGGTTTTTCCTCGGACATCTGAATTCTCGCGAGATTTCAGGAAGTCTCGCGTGATTTCACACCTGACATCTGAATCATGAATGAAATATGTTTGTGTGTGGTGTGTTGTCTCTTGCCATGTGTGTGTGTGTACACCACACACTGTAGGACCAAACCTGGTAGATCCATGATTTTCTATCCTCATGTGTGGGCTCTGTCAATCTTTGAAAATCGTCCGACTGTTTTAAAATCTTGTAGTGTGACTCAGGCCTTAAATTAATTAATTCAGCTGTTTGTTTAAGTTAATTAATTCAGCTGTTTGTTTAAGTTAGCAGCAAAAGTTTCAGTTAAACAAACACACACAAACAAACATCCTCCAAACTAAATATTTGAGTTGTTGGTTTTATTCCTCGGCCTCTCAGGATCCACCGTCTTACATAACATCAGCATTAAGGCTCTGTGATTAAGTGAAAGTGGATCTGCTCTTCAATAATGCAGATGACCAGAAGATGCCACATGATGGAAAGCCCCGGTGGTTTGTTGCTAGGCAACAGGAAGGCTCACAAAGCTTTCAGACGTTTTTTTTTTTTTTTGTTTTGTTTTTTGTTTTTTTCACGAACAGTAAAATCCCACCGCCGAGTCCGGAGAGGATCCGTTGGTTAAATCTTAATGTCCACTCAAGGCTGCAGCTCTCCATCCTTCACTGTTTCTGCAACCAAATAAAATTAAAAATATATAAGATAAACTTCAAAGACCTCTCAGAAATGATGATTTTATTTTGAAATCTTGCCTGAAGCTGAAAAAAAAACTGAACAATGATGGTTCTTAGTTGTGGAGTTTCAGCAGCCTGGGGTTTTAAAGGGAACCCCGACACGCTGTAACATTAGACATTATTTAATAAACATTTACTTCAACAATAAAAACAAGACTGTTGAATGACTGTAGTCTGGTTATAAATTAAAATAAATATATTTATATTGTCTCACAGACCTTGTTAGTTACACCACAAAGCCTTCTGGGTAAATGGTGTGGTTGGAGGATAACAGAGCTAGTTAATAGAACCTTTCCATATTTCACAGATGGAGATAATGCTTCCAAATGTTGCTGGAACAGTTGGCTAATATTAGCTCCTGAGCTAATGCTAAGCTAATGACTTTAGCTTCTTAGCTAATATGACTTTTAATGTAATGTTATGCTGCGTTCCAGTTGTCCTCGGAGGTCGTAGCTTCGAGCCTCCGAGTTCTATTTTTCAACTGGAACGCACCCTGAAGTCGTAGTTTCGAGTCGAGAGGTCGGCGCGTCCAAACCATACCCGAGCAGCCCGAGCATGCGTTACGCCATCATTTCAACATGGCTGCTGCGCGCATGTTTCTGTACGCTAACGGCTAATGTTGAGCTGTAATCAAACGTACACAAGCACCATCCCCATTATTTAACAGACAGAAAGTAAGAAGAGAGGAGGCAGAATAAAAACGAGTCTAATTAGTTTATTTTCCCTTTTTATAATGTATTTGTTTAATATATGTAGCATACTAGCATGCTTGTCGGAGCTAACCGCTAACGTTGCTAGTCTTGCATGTAAACAAACGCGGCTTTGACGTAATATAAAATAAACAACATAGAACAGACGTACTTGTAGTGCTTTATATTGATAGTTAAAATATGTGTTATAACATTGTTTGTCCACTCAAAATACCTCGTAGAGCACTATTATTGTACGTTTTATTGTTGCAGAGCAAAATAATGGAAACGCTTTTTCCAATGTTTGAAACTGGAACTCTGTCAGCTCGGAACTGACGTCAGTCCGGCTTCAGAATTTCGAGTTCCGATACAACTGGAACGCAGCATTAGCTCCAACGCTAATACATCTATGGTATTAATTCCTATGATAACAAATTAGGCATTAGCTTCCGAGCTAATATAAGTATGACTTTAGCTTCTTAGCTAATATATGGCGTTAGCCCCAGAGATAGCAAATATATATATAAATACATACATAAATAAATATATATATATATATATATATATATATATATATATATTCGATGGTCTAAGCTTCAGAGCTAAAAGATATAATGTTAGCTCCAAGGCTAATGTATACATTGGGGAAAATAGTATTTGAAACACTGCTGATTTAGCAAATTGTCCCACCAACAAAGAATGGAGAGGTCTGAATTTGTTACCGTAGGTACACTTTAACTGTGACAGAATCTAGAAAAAAACTTTACAGAAAATCACAGAAATCAAATAATTAATTTGCATTTCATTGTGATACAAAATGAAACTTTATTGTCACTAATTATAGCTTTTTAGCCATAACTCTTCTCAACTGGAAGTCGTCATCTTCATCCCCAAAATGCATTGTGTCAGTAACAAAATAGTGATGTACTTAAATGAAAAATATAATAAACAAATTGTTTAGTAATTCAGAGTTCTCCGACCTTTTTAGAGTAGAGAAATAATAAATACTACGGTCAACGTATGAAAGAAAGATTTCTTTCTTTGAAGGAAAAAAAACTACATTCCTGCAGTTGGATCACTGTAAGTATTTACTGAAAACCACTGCAGCCGTTCTTGTAAAATATTTCACAGATGGAGTTAATGCTTCTGAAAGTTGTTGGAACAGACGGTTAAAATCAGCTGATGAGTGGAGCTTCCTGTTAATTGGTTCTCATTAATAACAACAACAACAACAAAAAAAGAATAAACGAAGCCTGCAGAGCTGCAGTCATTGACTTGAACATTTTTATTCTGTTATCTTGAAAAATTGGTGTGAACCTAAAAAAAAATAAAAAATAAAAACGTCGCGAGGCCTCCGGGTGAAAAGCTGTGAAAGAATTTCTGAAATGTGACAAAGTGTTATTCAAACAGAGAAATATATTATTCTGCTCCCTTTGAGATTAATGCCCTTTTTTCTGAAATAATAATTATTTTTAGCCTAAAGGCCTAAATTAATTCATGAGTCAATCAAATAAAAAGCAAAGAAAGCCTTTTAGCTTTTTTTTCTTTCCTGCCGACAGAAAAAAAGTCCAACATTAAATCGTACACTTGTCCTCATTTGTAAGTATAATTATACGTCTGAAAGTTTGACGTTTAGAGGAGATTATAACGAGATTACAGCCTTTAAAAAGTTCACCGACAAAGTTCAGCCAGGTCCAATGAAAGCTGATCCTCACACAGGCTCCGCCCACTTATAGATTTATTTAAATTCACATTTTTGTCCTGTTTAAAGCTTCAAACTGGTGCTCCTACAAAATAAAAGAATAATTAAATATACTGATGATAGTTTAAAGACTTTTATTTTATGATTCATGAGATGTAAAAAAGTGAAGACGTAGGAAGAAGGAAGTTGTCCCATCAAAATAAAGTTTTTATTTTCCCTCAGTCAACACCGTCAGTCCTGTCCTGCACGTTAACGGGTCCCTGCTGGTCCCTCTCGGTGGTTCTGTCCCGCTGCTGCCCGTCCTGCTGCAGGTGAAGGACCGGGACAGTCCGTCCCAGCGGCTGCTCTTCCAGCTCGTCCACCGTCCCACCAACGGGCAGGTGGTCCTGTCCACGGGGACGGGCCTGCAGGAGCTGGGCACTGACGACACTTTCACCTGGGCCGACCTGGATCAGGGTCGGGTCCACTTCAGACACCTGCAGGACAAGTCCAGGTGAGAGGGTTTTACTTTTATAAGTGTCTAAATACATTTAGGCTCCGCCCCTTCAGTCCCAGCTGTGTAGTTTATATTTTTATTTGTTTTTGAATTCAGTTTCTATAAACTGAGAGATTAAAACAACATCTCTGCATGTCTAACAGCTGCTCTGCTTCTGTTTCACCCCTTCAAAATAAAACAGATGAACACATTCATCCCTTCAAAATAAAGTAGATGAATAAATTCATCCCTTCACAATAAAGCAGATGAACAAATTCATCCCTTCAAAATAAAGCAGATGAACACATTCATCCCTTCAAAATAAAGCAGATGAACACATTCATCCCTTCAAAATAAAGC